ATGTCCAATGAGAAAACTCTAAAGACTTTTGGTGGAGGATGAAAAGGACCCACATTCAGTGATGGGAAATGACTGTCAACAGCCCACACCCACAGCCCTGAAATTGCGAGACAGAAGCTTCTCGAACACAGAAGCCTGCTGCTCCACTGCCTGATTTCCTAGGGTTTTAAACAAGATGCAAGGTTAATCCCTACTCATGGTGCTGTTTTCCAAATCCAACACTTATTCCTCTGTACAAGGCCCACTTCCAGCCTCATCTCTCACAGCCACATCCTAAGTCCAGAAACTCACACTATTCAAGAGTCCTGATGGCAGGCAGTGCCCACCGTGACAGAACTGGCCAGTGTGGCTCTTGAGGGAAGCCCCCAGGACCTCTGTGCTCTCCCTGGCATGGCTGCCACTTGTCTGCTGTGCTCCCAGCTCCAATGGATAAGCTCTGTCCCCACTGGGTCAAGGAAGGCTGCAACGCTGAACATAACTGGTGTCCCCTCTTCCCTTCAGTTTCCTGTGTTCTCCCCATCTGATAAAACACTCTTCCATCATCTGATCAAACACTCTTCCATCATCTGATCAAAAAGTCTTTCCTCCCTTAGGCATAGATGGGTTTTAGTTTCCCACAGATAATCATATAACAAAATGAATCTTAAGTATGTTTTCCAAACCCTTTCGTCAATGTTGATGTATCATAATAAACACTCCAGTGGTTAAAACTTAACACCCTTTTCTAATATACCTAGACCAACAAAATCTTAATATCATCATAGTATATAAATAAAAACTCCCAAAGAATTAAACTTCAATATCATAAATAAATCTTCACAATTCAAAGGACAATCAAATATAATTTTCCTAGTACATCTAGCAAGGTCATGGATCATTAGCCTAATTATATTTCCTTTTTTTTTTAATGCCATTTGACATTCTGTTCATTTGTTTTTTAGCCATCTATTTAGAAATGCAAAAATAATATTTTGACTAAAGAAAAACTTTTAAAAAGAGGTTATTATTGTTGCATTCTTTGAATTGACTGGGTATGCTCTACAAATAGTTTTAGGAAAAGCATCTCCAAAAATATAATGAATGTTTCAATATCTAAAGCAAATCTAGAATCCACAATATGTATGTTCATCTAACTATAGCTTTGTATTTTGATGTGAGGCTTGCAAAAGAAATGCATTATGAAAAGCAGATACTATGTTAAAGGTTACAAAGTACCAAATGTTAATGATGTATTCCCCAAAACAGATCTAAATTGTCTTATTATAATTGGTATTTCAGATACTATTTTAGGTCTAAGAGACAAACAGAACCATCCAATCAAAACACAGCCTTACCATGCTACAAGAGGAAAACTCAACACCATTACAAACAATTAGGCCTGTCTGATTATCATGCAGGCCATCAGCCTGTGAGCACTGAAATATCCACTGACACTGGTATCCATAAAATATGATAAAACGTATTTTTAAATCTGAAGAGAAAGATTTGCAATTAGTAAAGTAAGGCACAGGACTTCCCTGGTGGTCCAGTGGGTAAGAATCTGCCTGCCAACCCAGGTTCACTCCCTGGTCTGGGAAGCTCGCACATGCCAGGGAGCTACTAAGCCTGTACCCCACAACCACGGAGCCCACACACAAGGATGGACCGAGCTGACATGAGGCTGCAGAGACAGCAGCAGCAGCGGGTGAACTGAGGCCACACGCCTGCAGGCTCCCGCTGTCATGCTTCCACGGTTACCGTCACTACTGCTGAAGCTGCTGCTGCTACTGTGTTTCCCAAAATATATTTTCTCAGGAACTCATCTGACACTGGATTAACTAGAAACTTCTTTCTGAGGGAATTCTGTCAAAATTATTCCAGTGTACATCCTCTCACTTTCCTGCTCATACGCTCAGTTAAACTTAATCTTTAATTGGACATGAAAATCTTGAAGTGGCTTAGGATCACTCAACATTAACAGTCACTGAGCTTGCCTGTGAGTGGCAGGACATGGGTCACATGTACTCGCTCTAGAGGGTTTCTTAAAAACCTTAAAAATGGACAGGTTTGTGTGTGTGCAATGTGTCAAATAGGGGCCTCAGGCGACACTGGTTTTTCCATCTTCCTCTTCACTCCTTGGGAGATGGGGCTGTTATTGTTACAAATCAGCAGATTGATGTTTAATTCTGACCTGGAAGCATCACACTCATTTGATAAAGGAGAACTAGGTAAAATAACAGTCTGATAAACTCCCTGTACCTTCTCAGCAAATCTCCTTATGTTTTCATAACCACAGTGAAGATGGGTGAGCTAAGACATCAGCACAGAACTTAAGCACAGGTGCCAGGAGAAAAAGTGAAAGGCTCTGTCTTGAGGTACTTGGGGGAGAAAGGATTGAGAAATACAGACACTCCATACTGCTGCCACTCGGCACCCACAGAGCATCCTCTTTCTCATCATGCCACACAGCAAGGTGTCCAGCCGAGGAACCTCCGTTACCACACTGAAGACGTGTTTTCTGAGAGTTATTAAAGGCCAGAACATTCAGCCACACTCTTAGTTTCAAGAGGACAACAGATCACAAAAAATATTTTAGCTATTTTGAAGTATTTAAAGAAAACCGGAATTCTTAGTTTCCATCACATGAGAAGAATAGCTTGAAACACCTTCATAAAACCACATCACAGCATTAATGGTTATTAATTTCACTGGAAATAAATGTTTGCATATGGTAAGGGGAACCACATGTTAACAGTTTGAACTGTGCATGTCTACATACATCCAGATTTTTTTCAATAGCAAATATTGCAGTGCTACACGAGCTTAGGGTGGTTGTATCCATAGACATGGAACTATAGAGAGGGACCCCAAGTACAAAGGAATGACTAATTTATATGGAGATTTTCAGCTCCTCAGAGGGCTGGCACCCTTGACCCCATGTTGCCTGCATCCAGAAAATATGTTTTCCTGACACAAAATTTTAAATTAGATGGAAATTTTAAAGTAGATGGAATAGATAGATTTTTCTTCCAAACACAACACAGTTAAATAAAACTAGCCTTCTTCAACCATATAAACGTTTGTAGTAGATTGGTCTCTCACCAACACATCAGAAAAAAAAAGTACTTTTCCTTCCAAAAACAAATCTGAAAAGCAGGGCTGAGAACTAGACTCTGGCCAAGAAGATGCTGACAAGCTCATTGGGAGTCAGGATGGACACGGGTCCACAAACTGTCTTTAAGCTGAAGGTCAACAGCTGCATCACCACAAATGGGTACAAATGATAATCCTGGCAAAGGTCTGTCCCCATGATTTACGGAACAGGTTCATGACAGGGTGAGGTAACTGTGTTGAGATGATGCTCCACTCAGATGTGCAGCTTGCATGCAAGGAGGCATCTCATGACAACTAGCTGAGGTTGCTGTCTTCATGATTTGGACATAATCTCATTTCAGGAGGCTTAAAAACTGAACATGATGTCAAAGCAATCATAAAATCCTATACTTTCAGGCATTATGAGACAGCTTCCTTATCTACGTTCACTTAACAAAGAAAAGGCAGTGATGGGAGGCAGGGAGGGCAAGAATTTCATCCCATAAAATAGATGTCCCGTGTCATTCCTGTCCGCTTCATAGGTAATGGCCCTGAAGCCCAGCCCTCCATGGCATCTATGCTGCCCTGCCCATATTCCTCACCTAAACAGCTTTTCCATCACCAGTACTGTCCACGAGAAGAGACATGATGACTCAGTCTATGCATCCTATATACAAAGATGCTGTGGAAAAGATTTTTACACTATTTACCTCTATGGTATAGAGGTAAATAGATATAGACCATATCACCCCTCAGAAAAAATGTGGTTCTCCATTTACCTTTATTCCATGACAAAGCCACCTTGACCAAACTGATTATTGTGAGATAAGTGATTCTGGCTTTAATTATTATCAGGAATAGTCATGGGTATGTATAAAGTCCTCCTCCTCCAGTCGCCTGGTTTATTTGCAGAACAAATGTTTATTCAGTGCCTACAAGGTGCAGGTTTGCCATTGTTTCTGATATAAAGTCACCAGCAACCAGCTGTGTCACAATAAATGGTTCTGAAAAATTCACTGTGTCACATTTGAGTTTGCATCCCTGTCAGAGCAATAGAGACGTGTGGGGTGAGTCTGAAGTGAATACGGATGAAAACAACTCTGGGTAAAATGTCTAGCTACAGCTTTCAGGTCAGAGCAAAAGTTCACAGGACCACATCACCCTCAGTTTTCACTCATCTGGGGAGGCTGTGCCAGGAGAGTCCTGAGGCTTCAGACCTCAATTCTCACTCTTTCTTTCACCCAAAAAGACAGAGCTGCTACCACCCCTCTTCAGGGTGAAAGATGCATACCACCAGCAGTGCCTTCCTTCTGAGCTCATTGTTCTGGGCTTTACTACACTTTCCTGAAGGGCTGCCTTGAGAGACATACAAAAGTATTTCATGATCAAGGCCACTGTGTGGACCAGTGGGAAAATACTGTATGAAAATGTTTTCTTCCAAACGCACTTTTCTTTCTCTCTAGGACTCAAGTGTCACAGGATGCATCAAAGGATCTAACACAGAATGGAGAAGCTGGAACTGGATACAAGAGTCTCTTCTCTGTGTCAAGTTCAAGGTGGTTATTTACTTAAGTTCTACAGGGCATCCACTCAGGTGTTAGAATAGGCACAAAATACCAAACACATGATTGGTTACTAAGGACTGGATTTCTTGCTTAATATCCAGTTTGTTTCTAGACAACTAATTATAAAAACAAGCAATTGCTAAAATCTTGAAAATATGGATCATGGGGCTACAAATCAATTAGTTAGAACATGATCACTTCGTGGAGATGATTATTTGCTGTTCTATCTGGGAAAATCTTACTTAACCGCATGTTCTAAAATGCTAACACCTGCTATCCGCTTACAAACTGTGGAGGGGACACAGCCCTGAAAGTGGTGTCAACGTTTTTCTCCAATGAACGTTCACACTTATGCCCAAAATACTATCCAATTTCAGAAAACACATGAATACTCACTTGCTTAGCCTTGGTCTTTGTGATGGTGTCAGAAATGGGTTTCTTCCTTTCCTTGACAGTAGACTTAGAAAACAATTCCTCAAATTCATGACAATCTATGGATGGCTCTTCAATTTTTTCCCAAATAAGTGAAGTACTGGAGTCTCTGAAGTTAAGCAAAAACCCATGAGAGAGCCGTCAAACTGGACTGCAGGGACAGGAGGACAGAGGCACCAGAGGGGCAAGGAGAGGATGAAGGGAGGTTGGGGGTGGGGGAGATGCTCTTTTCTGTAAGATCAGCACTTGTTTACTCAACCAACATGATGAGAAACAGCATCAATACAGGATGAACCTTTGCCTAAAAAGGAATTCTTTCTGGGCATTTCCAGGAATTCTCAGTCATCAAGTCATTGTATAAAACATGTTAAGAACCCTTTTCAGTATGGCTCTCCCGGCAAGAAATGTCTGATATCTCACATTCCAACCTGACCCAAAAGTTTCGTGGGTTAAAAATAAATCACTTTCTGCCTACAGACTGCCATTTCTGTCTCCCTACCACTGTCCAGCACTCATGTCATCTAACTCCTCAGTGACCACAGAGATAGGTAGTACCACCTGAAAATGAAGGTCCATTTAAAAAAGCAAAACAACAAAATAAAAGAACTTCATACAATGTATATGGAAAAAATGAGTTTGGAGCACAGCTGGAAATGATGCCTCGGCAATTGGAAGTGAGCTGGCAAAGTACTCAGAGAATGAACAGCAAAGTTAGAAGCAGTCAAAATAGACCCTCCACTATGATTCAGAGAAGAGAAAATTAATATAAGAAATGATGATGAGTCTAGTAAATATCCTATTTCTAAATCTGTGCCACATCATACACAGCCACAAATTCAGTCATAAGAACTTGGGATAAGAATATCCAGGGGAAATTTAAAGGGCATGTTTTCTCTGGCACCATCCCAGGGCTCAGGGAACCAGGTTCTGGACCATCCATGGGTAAGTAATATACCAGCAGCAAACCTGCTGGGAGGCATTCTTTTATAAATATCGTGTCTTTCATAAAAGCCATGTAAGTCTGTGATTTTATGACCTCTCAGCGTTGCAAATCATCTATAGAAGTACCATGAAATGGTCAGACCTAAATCATTTCACACATGGGGTGAAATCCGCACATGTGGATTTTTCCGTATCATTTTTCTGAATAGTAAAACAAGACCATGCCTTCAAAAGGATGCAGAATACATCCTCAAGGGTTTGTCTGTTCAATGATTTGATTTACTTTTATAAGCTATTTGTCAGAGTGAGGCTTTGCAACAAGGCAACAGCTCACATAGGCCAAGAGAGATCTATCCTCCATCCTTAAAAAGTCGATTAAAAACTAAACATGTTGAGGTTTGACAGAAAACAACAAAATTCTGTAAAGCAATTATCTTCCAATTAAAAAAGAAATAAATTTAAAAAAAAAGAAATAAATTAATTAAAAAACTATATCGACAGAAATGTGTACATTGATACACATGATTTATCACTTGGATACTTCTGGGGAAAAGTCTAAAATTGCTCCACTAAATATTGATGTAAAAATCTACAGGCTAGCTTTGGAGTGGTACAGAGAGGAAATCACTTCTCTCATGTTGACAAATTACGCAAAGACAAGCCCCGCTGGTGTTACCTTCTACTGTGCAGCTGAATTCTTGTCCAATATAGAGGCTTCATCGGCCGACAAGGCTCTACTGGCTGCTTCCTACTCCCTTTTTCCTGGTTCATCCCAAATCCAAACAAGCCAAGAGGCAACGGAGGAGGAAGAAAGCCACACACCTGAGGTGTCGGTAAAGTGCTACTCCCAACTTGTCGTGGGAGAGGAAGGCCTGACCCAGGAGGGGGTGGCGGCAGAGGGGTTAGAGAAGGTTGAATCCCCATACCTGGAGGAGGAGGAGGTGGGGNGGGAAGAGGGGGGGCAGGAGGAATTCCCATGGTGGGAAGAGGAGGGGCGGGAGGAATTCCCATCCCAGGAAGAGGTGGGGCAGGAGGAATTCCCACTCCAGGCAAAGGTGGAGGAGGGGGTGGCAGCATCTCTGGACCTAGAGAAGGAGGAGGTGAGAAGCCTGCTGGGCTGGGCAGTGCAGGCCCAGGTGCACCGGGGGTCAGGGGTGCTAGGGAAGCCTCCGTGCCCAGGCCAGGCATCAGAGAGGAGGTCTCTGCAGGCAGAGGTGGTGCAGTGGGGATGTCATAGCCATTTCCAGAGGAGGGGAAAGCAGAGTGCTCATGGCTGGTTTCTAACCCAGTGTGAAGAGGAGGATGGGAAGGCTGGGACCTGGCCTGTCCTTGACTGTCAGACCAGGGGAGGGATGCAGGCGGTGGAGGCTGGAGGGATGGCTGTGCATCAAGCTGAACTGATATTCGCCTTGGAGACACGACCAAAGAGATTTCTGAGCAGAACTTGGTCTGAGGTCCTGATGACAAGGGCAGCCCCGCTGATTCTCCATGTGCGGTCAAGGGTGGGGGGCCCACTGGTGCGGCCCCCCCAGGAGGAAGTGCCAGCACACCACCCTCTTCCATCGGGGACGTCTGGATGGACTTGGCCTGTACTATCCTTTCATATCCAACATCCTTTTCGCCCAACCTGAGGGCTTCCAGACCCGTGTCTAGGGCGGGGTATTGCTTCTCCAGTTCAGCTATCTTGGTCTTCAGATCCTCAATGGTCTGCTCCAGCCGTTGGATGACAGTGGCCTGACCCTCAGACTTCATGTCGCACACTTCCTGGGGGGCAACACAGACATCACAGTTAAACAGAAAATCAGGGATACTCCAAACGTCAAAAACTAGACCTACCAAACTCAGCAAAATATATTCATTTGTTACTTTTAAAAGCTCGCTCCATGGAAACACATTATTAGTTCTACTATGTGTCCCTTCTTTGCTGCCATTGGATTTCAAAGTGGATTACATACATGACCATGAGGTCCTAAGACCCTTCTCTAATTAATCTTCAAATGAAATTGTGGAAGATCAGCAGACCTCGGTGAAAAGGGAAGCAAAGACTGAGTGACAGACCCACTTAATTTCACCATAGACTACTCTCTTTCTTGCCCAGGAACATCTGCTGTATGAAGACATTTCCTAAAGATATTTTAAATCCTAACATTTAAAGTTAATTGCAACTTTTACAAAGTAGTCTCTATAACAGTCCCCAGTAAAATCATGAGAAATATTTGCAACTACCACACAAGCATGTATAGGCATGTCTTATGTGCATGTATAGAACTTATATCACACTTCAGTTCAGTCAGTTCAGTCACTAAGTTGTGTCTGACTCTGCAACCCCATGAATCGCAGCAGACCAGGCCTCCCTGTCCATCACCAACTCCCGGAGTTTACCCAAACTCATTTCCATCGAGTCGGTGATGCCATCCAGCCATCTCATCCTCCGTCATCCCCTTCTCCTCCTGCCCCCAATCCCTCCCAGCATCAGGGTCTTTTCCAATGAGTCAACCTTTCGCATGAGGTAGCCAAAGTATTGGAGTTTCAGCTTCAGCATCAGTCCTTACAATGAACACCCAGGACTGATCTCCTTTAGGATGGACTGGTTGGATCTCCTTGCAGTCCAAGGGACTCTCAAGAGTCTTCT